ACCCCACCTTCTTAAGGACCCATGGAAAATTTATGATGCACCCTGGGACATTCTGCAAACAAAATAAGTTGCAATATCTCATCTCATCGAATGTGAAAGGGGTATTAAATGCATAAATCAGAAACTGAAATGAGAGTTACATATGTAACCACGCTTCTATGAATTCTGGTGACCAACAGATGTATCTGGGCACAAAAACAGCTGAAGACAGCAGAAATAAGTTTGTGTAGAAAGGGGCATGTCATTGCTTAGTAAAATGTTTAAGCTAAAATGGGGCTTTAAGTTGCTCTTAAAATAATGTATTGGGCTGAAAAAAGAAGCATTTACCACACGGCAGGGGTCTAGTGCTTATATGGTCTCATATAAACAGTACAGACAAACAGAAAAACAGCAAACAACACAAGCGCAGCACACCCCGCTCCTCTCGTCTTCCTCTACTCAGATCTCCTGGTGTCTGCCTTCTGACGGGCTCATGTTAGATATGACCCGCTTTCTTGAAGACTAGACATGAATCTAAACTGACAGATGACAGCCTGTGACTGTGACGTGGTTTATGTCACAAAAATGTCTTGATATGGATTCAAGTTGGAAGTGGGTCGAGCACATATCACAATTATTGTTCAGTTGTGTAATAGTGCCATTTATACACCTCACGCACACGGTACAAGTATGACTACACGTCAAATAATATTTTATCAGGTACCTAAATCAAAGAAGCAAGAAAGTTGTGTAACTGGGATTGGTCTGCACCAAAACGTCAGTAAATAGAATGGAAGATTTTAACTGTGGGAAAAGTAGGAATGCACTATACATTCGCAAAAATGTAAATGTTTGTTTAAAATCTGGAGGTTATTTAATTGGTTTGGTTTGTAATGTCTGTGAAAAACAAAGAAGAGGGGGGTTAACAAAACCTAAAAAGCTGTTTTGGACAGTACTTTTGAGACGGACCCTAACTTCAGCTGTACACTGAGCCCAAAAGGCCGACTTTTACTGATACACTGACACTGTGTATTTCTCATGATTCCTTCACTAGAGTGTGTTTTTATTTTCCTGTAGTTAAATCTGCCCACTCTCACTTAATCAGGCATTAAGTCTTTAATTTGAAGTGGTGGAAAGGAAGAGATGGAGTGGGTGGGTGCATGTTATAAACAATATCAGCCCGTCATTGCAGGGGATTACACTGTCTTCAGAACACATTTTACATTACTTCATTAGGGCTCCTTTGATAACCTTTCATTTCACATTATTAGTTTTCATTTAATCCCGGTCCATGTTTAAGCTGCTGTCTGCAATGTGCGTCATAATGGCAAAAGCCTGTGGAGAGATGACTCCTCTACACGTGTAGTGCTGTGTAATTAAGCAATAAGCCATGAGGGGCCAGCTTTACAGTGATTTTTGAACAGCTGCTGTAAGATGTGTCGTTAGGCGTGACTTGTTAGCTGTTCAGAAAATCTATGTAAAGAGCAACCTCTATAGATTTAATGCCTTTGTGAAATTGTATATAATTTTTTTTAAAGGCTCTGTAATAATAGTAGCATATGTAGCTGTAATTCTTATTCCTTACTTTAAAGGGTTTGCTAAAGTGACGATTTTCAGACGTTCAGACCAAGAAATCAGTCTGTTTGTGATGCTGCTCAGTGAATTACTTCTCTGCTGTATATAGTAGTTGTCACTGTTGATCCCAGGGTCTGCCATTCGACCAGCCTACCTACTGTATGCATCAGGGACGCACAGGAAATGATGCAGCATGCTATCCACATCACTGTGTCATCTCACTGTTTACCCTTCGCTGCCACAGCCACAGCCATATCAAAGCTGTGCTGTTTGCTAATGCAAACATAACATTTCCACCTGCTGCTGCTTTATGTTAAAAGCTTTCAACTGGCAAAGTATGAGGGGGCTTTTATTGTGAAGCAGTCACAGAAAGCACAATGTATTTGACACGAGGTCTGCGCTGACAAAGATCCTTCATGAAAAATGCATCAACAAGATATGGTTATTTTTGGCATGTTTTGACAGCAGATCAGCTTTAAATAAAGCTGGCAGTAATGGAACAACAAGGAGCAGCCAGTTAAATAAAGAGTTCCAAGCAAGTGACTGGTGGAAAAAGGCCAATTATTGACTGAGTGCTTTATTAAAATAATGTAAATTTGTTTGACTGCAGTGTAAACTGATAGACTAGCTGCTCCTCTGCTGACCAAGTAACACCACTGGGAGTGTTGCTGTTTTAAACCAGTTGACAGCACCAGTAACTACACTTGTTGCTAAACTAACCAGGATGTAATACTGTAAAAACTTTACCTGATGGTTTTCTGTGTTTCAGTGTATTTAACTTTAGTGATGTACAGTCACAATTACACCATGTATTTGCACCAACTTTGATGGAAACTTTGAGGAAAAAAGCAAAAAGGAGGAAAGGTTGCACTTTAATCAGCAATGAATGGAGTGAAGCCCATTAGCCGGTTCAGGCAGACAGCTCAGATCGTGCTGCCGCTGACGCTCTGGATGCCTCTTTGATCTGTCCTGCTTATGCTGCTGCCGTTACTGTAGCTCACTGCAAACACAGCTGCATCGCCGGTGCTCATGTATGTAATTTAATCAGCACCACCTCCACCACAACATCTGTCCTTAGGCTCTGATTCTAGTTTTCTTTGCATGTTTGCTATTGTCACTTCCCATTCCACCTTTATAAGGCTTAGCTGTGGCAGGTGACAAGGTCAGAGATGAGACACTAAACATTAGCTGCTCATAGCTTTGTATTCTCTGTATTTGTCAATGTATTTGGTCAAGCTGACTGGCTGAAATTCGGGTTTCTGCTGAGCCGAACACACATCACACACCTTGGCCGAAGGCTGCAATTTCCTGGATACTCAATAAAGCTGCCCTATTACACATTAATGGTCCGAGCCTGTCATCGTTTGTGCATAGTCCGGCATAATTGAGATACCTTTAAAATTCCCATCAGTTGTCTCAGAAAATGCTTATCTCACCGTGAGCTCATTATAGGCTGTATCACAGACAATCTGCAGATATTAACGAATGACCTGTGTGACATTACTTCAAAGTTTTGCTGCAGAAGTAGATGATTTGAATGTCATGAAAAGTGCTGGTGTTCAGATGCACCAATTAATTGCACTGTTTTGTTTCCCTTTTCTACCTTGATTTCAAAGGAGAAAAAAATGAATGCTTACGGAGAAGTGGTTTGTGTGTTCCTCCTCCCTGTTAATGCCTCATTTAGTGTCACTTCACTGTACCCGTGTGGTGGTTTACTGATTCTGACTAGCAAATTTCCAACTGTTTGTCAAACTGAACTCCAAACAAGGATTTGTCAATGTTCTATGATGATGTAGATATCAATATTCAGAATGAAGTGGTCAGCTCTGAGTCACATGACCCGCTCACAGAGGTCCACAGTTAAAGCTGTCCAAACAAAGCCCCTGATATTTATACGATGTGACGAGCAGCATCTCCTCCACCTCCTCCGGGCAAATGATTTATCTGTTTACTGCTGATAATCTTATCAGATTTCGATTTCACTCATCACCCTGTCTGTACAAATCTTCATCTCTTTGATTGATCGTCCTTGCGATGTAATGAAAGCTAACCTAAGCAATTGAACCGTCTTGTCTGCAGGGCTGAAGATCCGCGAGGTGATGATCAACGTGTCACGACAGCAAGTGGAGGACTTTCATGGCCCAGAGGATTACTGGTGTCTGTGTGTCGCCTGGAGTCACCTGGGAACCTCCAAGAGCCGCAAGGCAACTGTCCGGATCGCCTGTAAGCAGCTCCATGTCGCAGTAATACCAGGCTGACCTTATTCCCTCGGAAAAGGCTGTTCTTCTTCAAACTGGTGGCATGATTTTGTAGAAGGCATCATTCTTTATGTACTGTACATCTGACGTTTACACAACAAATCTGACTTTCAAGGTGCATGTTTCTGTGCTCCCTCCTGCTGTTTGCTTCCAGATGTTCTTTAATACAAGCTTTTTATTCTCTTCTCTAGACCTCAGGAAGAACTTTGAGCAGGACCCCCAAGGCACCGAGGTGCCTCTGAATGGCATGATTGTGTTGCACTGTCGTCCCCCAGAGGGAGTGCCACTGGCTGAGGTGAGGGCTGCTTGCATTTCAAACAGGTAATATTTTCTCCTGTGTTGCCTGGAGAGAAGCTGTCGTGTCCCTGGTTTACTGACAGAGTAACTGGGTTTTCATGATGCGATGTTTTGCTGCTCCCCAGCCACCGCACATCAAAGTGGACTTTTTTTCTTCAGTTTAGTAAAAGCAAGAGCTGCGGCTGATGAGCTGAAGATGCCATTCATTTAGTTTCCCGAGCATATTCTGTTCAAGGTGGAGGGCTCATTCAAGGGCTGTTATGTTTGTGTGCGTTCTGTGTTTGCCACGTTCTTGGGTAAAAGGATGTACTAGATGGCTATGCCTTAGTTAGATGTCAAGGATTCTTTTAATTTTCACTCTTAATCCCTCCCTCTCCTCTGAGTGTGTGTGTTTGTCTGAAATAGAGTGCCTGTCAATGCCATTTTAAATGTTATTAGGATTTTTTTTAGAATATAAAATGAGGCTTTCATGAACAGTCCTGTTGAGTGGCGTGTGTTGTGCTGCACTCTGGTGCCGTGCACCTTCACGTGGAAGCTCAGCAGGTAGATTCGGTGTGTCAGTATCAAAGCCTTTGTGCCCGAACATCCAGTATTTCACTTACAGCTATTTACACACACTGACCAATAAGTTATTGTTTCATGTTGTTAATGGTGAAAACTTTGTTTGCACTAGAAATGATTGTTATATATTGCTTTAAAAAAGATCAGTCGAGAAACGTGTATTGCTTTTTCATGTGTGAGTCAAACTTTGTAATCAGTTCAGGCCAGTCAGTAGATTTGGGACAGGGACTCATTTTGGATCTGATAGAACCTTCCTACACAAAACACCAGTGCATTCTTAATATTAAACAATCAAACCGAAGTAATAACTACAGCCTGAGAATCCCTACAAATTGGAATCATTGTCACAGTGTTGACAAAAACTCAACATCAGACTCTATACTAATTGATTTACTTTATTGCGAGGAGTGTGTTGGATTGCATTACTACTACGGGTATTACAAGTTTCATAATCTGCCGTCTGAAGCCTACAAAAACACACACACCACCTCAATAAACACTTTAGATTAGAAGGGCAGTGTTTTTCAGTAAGAGCTCAAGTCAACCGAGAGTGTTCAGGGCCAGACTGTGGAGTTCTCTTTACCTGCTGGGTTTATTACTACACCTCAGTTCACTGAGCCAAAAACCCCAGATACAAGCAGGCCAGACGTTAGCGGTACAAACCTGGCAGAGCGTCACTGTGGCCAAAACCAAATGTCTGATAACACACTATTTCTTTTGGTCCCCATAAACTACATTATTTAATAAACCCCAGTCCAAAACTGTAAAATAAGCACTGATGCACGAATATTGTTGAAACGTTTCAGTCGGCTTCAGCTGTATTGTCCTTTCTGTGCTGTTGTATTAACAGACTGTTGATCAAAAAGAAGTGGGGCTTTCAGACTCCTTAAACATGACCATGGACTCCTTCCTTAACATAATGCACATAATACTGCATTTGTAATTTATGTGTGTGCGTGGTGTGTGATGAATGATTCAGCTCCTACAAATGGAGCATCGGTGTACCACCAGTCTCCCCCATGCATTGTGGTCATCAAATAGGCAGCTCCTCATGCATTCATTAATGTGACTCCAGCAAACAAAGAGAATGGTAATAGTAAATACTGCAGGGACAAATCCAGCTCCCTCTAGAATGACTTGCGTCGAGGGGGAAAATGCTCACATCCAGCAATGTGGCTGTACTTTTCTCTTTTCATGACGTTAGATGTTCCTGAGAAGTTAAATCCTTTTTTGTAACCAGCGCTGTGAAATTTGGCTCAGGGAGAAGCCGCAGCTCAGCTACACTTTGAGTTTTAAGGAATTGAGGTCACGATGCAGTGTGATCCGTTGAACTTGTATCCCGAGGCGTCTTTGTTTTGGTCGTGACCTTTATTTGAATCTTTCACACATCTGCAACTTGCGACAGATCCCAAAATGAATGCTTGTAATGCTGAAGAAACAGTTAAGTTTTGGGGCTGCTGCCGATAAATGCTCACTTTACAAAATGCAAAACAAAATGAGTTCCAACTTAGCCTGCTGTTTTAAGGCATAAACACTGTAGAGCTGACTTTACAGCTTGAAGTCCCCTGTTGTCGCTTCTCTGCTCATGTTCTCACTGGCACCACCAATAACAGGAAGAGAGGGAAGGAACTTATCTGCATCTCACTGTAACTAAGCCACCTGGGAGTTTACTGGGCTGCTGTGTAGGATGTTAATGAAAATCAGAGAATGCCATATTATCTGTCCCAGCAGTGTCCGAGGCAATAATCTGTGCATACTATAAGTCAGGCCACAGAGAACGTATCATAGGAAAACAGCTTAAGCCTGCTTTAGTTTATTGGTGACAACAGTTGAGCTGCCAGATTCTTTTAGTTGGCTGTTTTTTTTTTAATAAACAAAGAGCAGTTTAAAATAGGCATTGTAGTGTTGGTGGCTTTACATTAGGGGCTCTGACTAGCAGAGGGAAAACATATAGTCTCTTTGATCACTTAAATATTTTGTATTAAAACACTTTACGTCTAAAATGATAGGTGTGCTGATTACAGACCACTGGGGGAGAGAGATTATGGCCGTAATAAAGACTTCATAATGAATCATGATTCATACTGTGGCTCCAAGGAAACAACTAGAGAACCATCAGAAATTAAAAGAGAGAAAACTCCAGAGGATCTGAAGAAGTGAAAAGAACACAGAAACAGTGTGAGCAGGAGTCCGGCCATGCAAGGCTTAAAGACAAGCAATAAAATGTTACAAATCGATGCTAAAACTGGCCAGTAACCAGTGAAAGGGGAGCAAGCACTGGTGTGCTGTGGTCCCTTCTCTTAAGACTTGTTTGGTATATGTTGTAGTCTTTGAATAGTTTAGCTGCTGAGATTAGAACAACTTTGTTTACTGTCCAGAGGAGATAAAAGCATGAATGACCCTCTCTACTTTAGAGGAACTGGCTAATTTTCTGCAGTCATCTGAGCATCGGCAGAGCTCAAAGTGAGAAACAGTAACATCATTTTTAGACAAGGCATCCAGATTATATGCGAGGTGATAATGACACTGTCCTCCCATGAAAATGTGGAATTGTTGATGATCTGTTGTTGAATTATTTTCTGACATACAGTTTTTAAATTCAGCCAGAAAAGACATGTATTATGCAGGACACATCTCTGGTACCAGTCTTTACTGGGATCTACAGCTGCAGTTCATATGGACAATATATTATGTCTTGATATCATGCCCCGGGGGTGGGATGTAAAACACAGAAACAAAAGGAGACTCAGGATAAACCCCTGAGAGACTCCACAGAAGAGGAGGAGGCCTCTCTCGGATAAGAGATGAACCAATCCAGAGCCACATCACACGGTAGTGTTTTTCAAACTAATTAACACAGTGTTGCCCACTATGTCAAAGATGTGTTTACAATAGAGAACGAGTCTCCATGAGCAGCAAGTCTCTGATGACCTTTTACAAAATAAAACTGTTTGTAAGAGATGAATTCATTACAATAAAGCAGGAGCATCAAGTATCAGCTGGTGCATTATAAAATAGCACTCACTTAGATTTATGAAGTTATTGATTTAGCAGGTTTTTGAAGCAACCCAGGCAGTGATTACTTTATCTGGCTATAGGAAGCACTTGTGTTAAAGTAAAAGAGAAAGCTGTCTACATAAATTGCACCATTTACTTAAGTGACATCCAAGAAAAACCTTGACACGTGTTTTCTGGGGGGGAAACGACAGTTTTACATTAATCAACAGGTTTCACATTCAAAGTGATTAAAATGTAATTGTTCAGTGTCAAAGCACAACATTTCCAGAGAGACATTGTGGAGATAAACCAAGGGCACAACAAGGGTTTGGCAGCCCCACCTCTAGAATATGCTGCTGTCAGATTTGTACCGTTCATTTGTTTAATGTGATTTCATGAAAGTCACTGTTCCACTGAGAAAAGGCCGTGCATGACTGAGGGAGGCGGAGGGAGTACAGGCACGAGAGGAGCGAAAGGAGAGCGCTTGAAACTCAACCTTAATTGAATCTGATGGAACACAACCTGCTGCAATGCTTTATAATCGTCTTCATGTCACATTCACTTTTCAGTGAAATGATTGTGTTTAGGCCTGGTGCAGGGAGGAACTTAAATGACTTGCATATTTTTTTGTCTTTATTCGATACCTTTCGGCACACGGTGCTCCAGGCTCTCTTCAAACACATTGAAGCTGGATGGTTCGTGGACCCCCAGCTGACCATCTGATGCAGATTTTAGTTTTTAGTACATCATGACTACATTTTATTTGCTGTCTTTGCTTTGGCTGAAAGCAAACTGTTACTAAACAAGGCAAAAGTTCCAAAGAAGGACAGAGTGTGGATCATTCTAACTTAGCTTTCATTTAGTGGTCAACATGGTGACCTTGACGGCATCCCACCCCAGCAGACCGCCCACAGGGCCTGATCGGTTGGGTTAGGTGTGGTGTAGTTCAACACTAGATGCTGCTATCTAAGTGGAACAAATTTGCCAATTAAGCAAATCCGTTTCCTGTCCTCCCCAGGCGCCGGCTTATCGGGTTCATTTGAGTCTGTCCTGTCGCTGCCTTCTCATCACCATGCACATCTCTCTATCACTTCCCCCTGAGGGGGAGACTCAGGGACCAACACAGAATTCAAATCGCACGCTTCCTCCAGCAAACACTGGAGAAGAGTGAAGGAGGGGGCAGAGTGAGGGAGATTAATCAAAGCAACAACATGAGACAGAAAAACCAGCCACAGTTCAAGACAATTATTTAAATTTACTGGAGTGTAAGAATTCATTGAGATAAGGGCCACAAATTCAAAGAATTCAAATATATTCTACTGCTATCATCACTGAGAGATTAGGGCCAATTCTTTAGTCAGTCACATTTAAAAAGACAACAGAGGCTGTTTAACAGCTTAATGAAGTTACAGTACTCTACTGTGTACTTTTGCTGAGCTCTTTTTCTTCAGATCATGGACCAGAATCATGTGTCATCATAATGTCCTAATGAGGGGTCTAGCATGAATTCTATTCTTTTATTTTTCCCCCCACAAAGTTAAGTGTGTGTGAAAGGCAATATCATTAAGGCAGAATGCATTATTACCGAGTAGCTGCAGAAATCATTCATTCTTGTCTATGAACCCGCACCAACACAGAGGGAACTTTTGCAGGAGTAAGCACATGGGCTGAGGTTGTTTTTTTTTTTTAATCACACACACTTAAAGATGCCTGGAACAAGCTAATGAAACTAATAAATCACCATATATAGCCACAGAACTGGGCTCTGAGCACAGACTTTCTTAGACATGTACTGTACAGTAGCATCCTAAGCAGTTCCACAACAGTGCACAGAGGGTGAGTGAATGATCGCCGGTGAAGCTCAAATCAGTACCGCAGTAATCGATACCGCACCTGGTATCAATACCAACTGAAAAGAATTGAGTAGAAACGTGTCGTTTTTGTACGTGTGCTAGCTTCAGACTTCAAATGCTCTTAGGTAGTTAATGTTTATGGCACAGAACAGACGCTGGTGAGATGAAAGCCTCAGGGTCCAGTTGTCCTCCATCAGTCTTTGTTTTAATTCATTTGTATCATGTGGGTCGAGAAATCTTTCTCATTAAATGGACAAGTGTGAAAGTTCTTTTTTGAATTATTTCTTATTCAGTTTGTTTTCTGTGAAAGTTTCTATAAGTAATTTTTCATTTATAAAGTTGATTTAGTGGTAGTTTTAATTAGAGATATAGATGAGTTATAATTATTTAATAATGAATTGTAGTACCTTCATAACCGCTGGCTACCCCTAATGATGTCTGAGCACCAATAAGCCAGTATTGCCACCATAGTTGTGCCCCCTCATGAAACTCCAGTTACCGTCTTATGATCCGCTGTGACTGGTCAGGTCTGCCGTCTCCTGGGTCGCACCGCTCGGTGGCCAGTAGCTCTTCTCTCCTTTAATCCCCACTCTCTTGTAGTTCGCACACCAATAAAAAGTTATTATGAAATATATAAAGTTTGATTACTCACCCTCATTGTAAAAAGATACAAGTGGTGTCATTTCAGTGACCCTGGTTTCAGCCATTAAATCTTATGACATTTCACAGATATGGCTGAGAGATTTTGCCTTTACTGTAACGTGTCAGTTATTACCTGCAGAGGGTGGGTGGCCGTACACCTACAATACAATATCTAGCGTAATATAATCAATAAACCTCAATTCCTCTGCAATAAAACTGCAATAATAATCCTTTAAATGTTCAGTTTTCTTTGGACCTTGTCAGCTAGCTGTTGATTCAACTCAAGAGTGACACGGTAATACGCTACAGTGACTGTGTGTCTAATGTATTGACAGTTCTTCCTGTTATCTAGCATTCAGACAGCAGAACTATGTGATGTTTGAATGTATTAAAACAGTTTGGTGATGCAGGTAGTTGTCCTCAGTGTTTCCTAAGGTGACATATTACTGTTGGAATATATTTAATTATATGACAAAATTGTTAAACCTTTGTACCTGTCATGTTGAATTTTGGCACTACTTTATAAGTTGTATCCCATCTAAAGCAAAGGATTGTGGGTAGAGGTAGCAGTTTGTGTTTGATATATAATCTCTGGCCGTACAATGCTGAACTAATGTAAGTTGTTCTTATCTAATAGTTGGTGACCAATAGCTTCATCCCCATTTATTTAAAGTCACCTTTTTCACATCACAACACAGACAGTAAAGTTAAAATAGTTTTATTTAAAAGCAAAGCAACATAAGAATGGAATCCTCCTCTAAATGTAATTTGTTGCTTGTGTAGCACCAGATAACCCGTCGGCCAGCTCAAAACGTTGGCTGTCAGTCGGTTCATTATCAGCACCGCTTCTAAAGGCTGCGTCTGCTGGAGATGCCTTTGAGGTGGAATCTTTTATGAATAATTCAGACAATACTCACACTACAGTATATATAGACTTTGACCCTGGTAAAAACAACACAGCTCACCGCTGTCATCCTTCTGTGGAAAAGACAGCAGTATCTACAGAGAAGGTGATAAAGCACAAACCTCCCCCTTGTCAAGGGTAATTCCCTGCCTCTCAGACGCTAGGGCCACAGTTGGTTAGAGAAGGTAAACTTGGCTCAATCAGAGGAGGAACAACTGTGTACAAGACTTTATTCTGTAAGATTGTAAGAACCCTCTAGATAGCTAGATAAAGAATGAGAGGTAGAGGGAAAGATGGTCCAGGCTTGGAGGAGAAGATTATAATGTGATTGCATAAATAATTCTTTATAATGCATAATAGCAAAATAAGCAGTATGATGAAACCATAACGTTAGGGTGAATATCGTCTGGTTAGAGAAGATATTTGTCCACTGTGGAGGCTTGAAACCAACTGCCTCCATAATTGAGTAGATTGATGTTAGAAGCTGTGAAGAATTTAATACAACATGGACGGTTGAATAGACACTGAAGGTGTGAAACAGTGAAGGCAAAAATATAAAGAAAAGGGTTGAGAATGACTGATGCAGCCCACCAGCGTTGTTGCTCGGTTTGTCTTGGAAGCTGTGGTGCCGAATTAAAGGCACGTGATGAAAGACTTCTTGGACCATCAAACGGAGAAAGAAAAAAACACACTTGTGACAACATGACTTCTGATTTATTGATTTCCCAGCACAGTTTTTTCATCCAGGGTGCTTTGAAAGAGCAAAGCAATCTCTGAGTTTGTTGGCTGTTGTTATATTCCCTTGGCAAATGAACACTCCCCACAAACACAAGCACACACACTAGGGTACAACCCTCATGCACAAACACTTGGAGCTCCCGTTGGGGCGGAGTTTTTAATCCTCAAACACACTGCCATAAATCAAACCCCACTCCCTCCTGCCCCAGCTCGTCTGTCTCAATGAAAAGCTCAAGCCAGTGGCACATTAATAGCAATTTACAGGGCCAGTCATGCGGGGAGAGGAGCATCACCACAGCACCCTTTATTTTGTAATTCCTTATTACTTCCACTCACTACATGGCAACTGAATTGGTAAGAGCAGAGGATGTGGCCTACCTACTGCATCACTCCCTCCGAGTGGACGTCACTCATGTTGTACTTTTCCCATAAAGCCCTAATCTTGTGGTCAGAACGTGTCCCCTCACTTAGTGTTAAAGTAAACAAAAGAGGACTGTGACCCTCACCTGAATAAATGTAGTAATGCTGTCGGGGGCTTTTATTATGTTCACCTCATTTATATCAACGATAGGGTGGAAACGGGGGGAACGTAACACAGTTCAGCAGCAGCACAGACTACATCCTCCAACATAATCATACAGCTGCATCAATGGCTTTGTGACAGAGTTCCAACAAGAACTGAATGTTTCAACCTTTATGAAGTTTGGATTCATTGTCATATTAGGCTGCATTCATTTTAGACTGGTATAACTCCTAGAAACCATTAATCCATTAACCCCAATGAAGAGTGAATCGAAAACGACTTAGCATGGATGCACCGAAGTTGGACCAGTTGGCTGAGTGACGACTAAATGTTTGAAAAAAGCTGAACATAATGAATAAATGGCTGAGTTACAGGAATTTAATAGCTAAAACATAACAAACAGTTGAAATATTAGCTAAAAGCAGTGAATAATGATTGTAGTTTGCTGCTGGGACACACTAACGTAGACAACCTCACAGTATCATAACACAAAACCAAACAGAAATGCAGCTGCATGTTTTCAACTAACACACAATTAGCATATACCATTATGAGTATTAGAGACTTGTGCCTGGAAAGTGGTGAAACTAATATTAAGTACTACACTTAGGGGGATATTTACTAAACCTGGTGCAAATCACCACCAGGTGCTCAAAATGTTGTGGCACCGCTGTTTTTTTTTTTTGTTTTTGTTTTTTATTTTTCCTCATACAAACCAACACTGATGATATAAATGAACACAGCCACAGCTCAGCTGTTCATTTGAATTCACCTCTGCCTTTGATTTACTGCCTGAAGGCTGTTGCTCATGTGTGGACCGTGTAGAAGAATGTCTAAGTTTACAGCCACTGAGCTTTAATACGGTTGAAGAAATCAAACATGCTTCAGAACTGCAGTCACATGGTCTCCTGCCAGTCAGATCACCTTTTATTTCATTCTGTAAATGACGCATGGTTTGAACTGAAAGCCTGTACACGTCCCTCAGGATCTCTCCTGGTGTGTTTTCAGCCCAGATGAGGTCTCAGATGACTAACAGCTGCCACGCTAAGAGCAGTGCCACAGATTTTACACCTGCTTTCTCGTGACGTTAGATTTCAGCCGCAGTTCCTTTTGGCCCAGCTGTGCTAAATCAGGTGTTATGGGTATTAGTATAAACTTCCATCATCTCCTCCCTGATTTTAGGCGCCTGAATAGGAATACCTGTAAATGCAAATTGCATGAGACTAAAGGTGCAAATTCCAGTGGTGCCACATGTTTCCCTGTGTACTGTGACTCCTTAGTAAATATGAACACATGCACTTTCACAATTTGGTGCCAGAGTAGATAGTTTGGAGTGAGGTGGTCTAACTGCACTCTCACTACTGCAGATATCAGTCAATCATCATAACCTCAAACTATAATAAAACTAAACATGTTATATGTCAGAACCCAGAGAAGTTGGGTTGTTATTTTAGAAGTGATGTTGTTTCTTCATCTGTCATCTCTTGAAATGTGTTTTTGTCTACATGCAAACCTCATGTGCTGTTTTTAGGTGGAGTGGCTGAAAAACGAGGAGCCTCTGAGCACGGACAATGTCATCAATACAAAAGGCGACCATAATCTCATCATCTCAGAAGCCCGCCTCTCTGATTCAGGAAACTACACCTGTGTTGCCAGCAACATTGTGGCCAAAAGGCGCAGCGCCACAGCCACTGTTGTAGTCTATGGTAAGGTATCAAATTCCAGACATACACTTTCCAACTTTTCGAACAAAAATGTGCCTAAGCTTATATTCTGTCTCAGGCTAAAGTGCATGACAGTAAAATGTGTTATGGTTACAGAACAGATGATCAGAACAATGGTCCCACCACTTTCCTGCCTGCATCAGAGTATCGGTTTTCACTGCAGAAGCAGGCTGTCACACAGTCACAGTCGAGCTAATTCCCCAAAGTCATTAATACAAAAAGCACTGCTCAACCACAACGTGTGGCCTTTTTTCACACACCAGTCTAATGAGCAGGTAATGGGCAAGTGATCATCGTGTGTAAAAGCAAGAAGACACGGGCACAGTATTTACAAGAACTCAATTATTAATGATGGAAAGGAAGTGATGAGGGCTGTCATGAGTCCCTGGCCTTTATCTGCCGGCACTAAACACCCTGTGTAAAACGCTTTGTATAGCTGCAGGCCAGCAGACGCTGTTTTGTGAATTTTTATAGCCCAGTGAAGAGCTCTGCTGAGACAAAGGTGAATAAGTGCAGTTTTTCTGTCATACTACTCCTCGTGTTAATTGGAGTGTCTCTGTGCCAGTTTTACTGACCTCTCATCCTGTTAGTTTTCCTTTTTCTCTCAGGACATTTAGCTGCTGTAGAAATATATCTGATTCTTCCTAAATTCCCATTGCTGAGGCTGATCGATCATTAATTTTAATAATGCTAGTGATGTCTGACAGGCTTACTGCTCCCAGTAGCCTCAGATGTGCACAGTAGTGGAACACTGGTATTTTTCCTTTCATGTGACAGCAAATGAGCTGATGAGTTGATCATCCAGCTTTATTTCAGGCAACAAATCAGATGAAAAAGTGCACGAAGACAGAAGGAGATGCACTACTGATTATCTTGTTAAAGACACCTGTGTGTGTGTGTGTGTGTGTGTGTGTGTGCTCATTGTCACCTCTGAGTGAACCCCTGTGATGCAGTGACAGAAAATATATTAACCACAGAGTATAGACCAGTGTGCGTTTCTGCAGAACAGTGTGTGTTCATCCCTTTCCCTTCTTCGACTGACACACACAGTGAATGGAGGCTGGTCATCGTGGACAGACTGGTCCCCCTGTAACGTGCGCTGCGGTCGCGGTGTGCAGAAACGTTCTCGCTCTTGCACGAATCCAGCTCCTCTCAACGGGGGAGCCTTCTGTGAGGGCATGTCGGTACAGAAAAGCACGTGCAACACACTGTGTCCAGGTAAGCACAAAGCCAATGTCTGTTTACATGCTGAAAGGCCTGTCGTGGTATTTCGGAGTCCTTTCTACCTCACAGGTTGAAGACAATAGCATTGTTTATTTCATGAAAATCAGACGACAGTTGAAAGGTTTACACTTGTTTGTAAATTAACAACAGTTGTGCGTTGACGGAAACTAGATCGGGGCACTTGAAAGCATCGCAGGTGTGAGCTATAGTGTAATGAGAGTTAAATGAGGAGTTTGAACCCACTCTTCAGTCTGTCAGTTACACTGCACTGCATCAGAGACATCTGCAATGACTTGTACACATCACCATTTCACTCCCTCTGCACTAAATTCATCTTAAGTCTTTTCATTTAAAAGTGATATTACACAGATTTTACACATTTTCAAACATATACTGCATAATTGTCTGTCTTCATTGTAAATATGATATATAATATATATTTTCTTTCTTTGCTACTTTTTATATTCTACTTTTTTTGTTGTTTAATAAGGATTTATTTATCCATTTTCTGTTTGTGCTGTGTGTAGGACCTTACAACAGCATCTACAATGACTATAAAGATGAACCTTGATTTTTGAAAGCAAAGGGGAAAACCAATTATGTTTGGTTTCCTAGTTGGACTGGAAATATTTCTGGGCTGGAATCTTGTCATCACCGTTACTGGCTGAGAAACTGTCCCATGCAGAACCACTAATGATTGTTTTTGCACTATGGCATTTGTAGGTGCTGTTTGCTTTTGGTCTTCATACTAAACCAGACTAACCTTCTGGCTCCATCATCATATTCATGGACAAATAGAGTTGTTTCAGTATTTATATATTTGTATATATCAGCAATAATGTCCTGTCATTTAAGTCTCAGCTAGAAAGCAAATAGGTATATCAAAACATTCCTGTAAAAAAAAACAAAACAAGCTGCAGGCAGCATCCTCTAAGAATTCTGAATGTCAGCATATCCTGGTATAAATGCAGTTCTCTCTATTCACAAGTGAAATTATCACACAATAAAAATGTAAATGTAACGAAGAGTAAAGGCAGCAAAATGGTCTCTTTGAACCAAGAGAGAGAATCAACAGAAAGCAGTGACTGGCTGGAAGACAGCAAAGAGCTCGGGCTGCGCTTTGTACTTTGGATTATCTCGACTCAACCGGTCACAATTCACCGTGAGTGTGTCACACTTTACTGCTGACAGTGACAGTGATTTGTATCTGAAATATAACGAAGAGGAAATTAAGAGAAATAAATGCAGAGGCTGGTGAAAAGAGGGAGAAGAGATCCTGAGAGAGAAACAAACAGCAGAAGCTTAGGTTGTGAGCGCTATCAAAGCTGTGTAATCTGCTCTGCCCAAGTGTGGTTTTATTTTTTAGACAAACCCAAATTTATGATTTCAACCAGCAGAAAAGAAATGCTCATCAAGTTTAAGAAGAAAACTTATCAGGACAAGGCAGCGCCCTCCTCCAAACATTATCTCCTCTTTGCCAACTGCGTCCTTCTGAAGGATTCTTTCTCTGCATCAGAACAAAAACAGGATGCATTCGTGTTTAGATTAGCAGGAACAGAGGAACCTTTTGAGCATGTGGAGGTGAAAAGGGGACTTGATGGAGTATGGCATAAGCAGAATGTCTTTGTGCTCTAAGCAAGCAAAACAGTACACTGAGCTGAGGAAGAGAATGTGTTGTAAAGTACGCAGACCTTGAACGTGTTTTCTCTTAAAAAATATTTAACTGAGGTTTGATGTTTGAATCTTGTATAAGTGAGTGTCATTGCTACATTGGTGAAAAACCTTTTGCCTCTAGCTTCTTTTTCTAAATTATTCTGGATCTACCTCATGCTTTGGTGCTTGTATGAGAGTTTGGTCATAGTGCATATCCTTGTTTTTGTGTCTGCTCCCTCAGTTGATGGCAGCTGGGGAGAGTGGAGCGAGTGGTCAGTGTGTAGCGCCGACTGCGAGAGGCAGCGCAGCAGAGAGTGCACGGCCCCAGAGCCCAAACACGGAGGGCGGCTGTGTGACGGGGTGGCGCTAGCTACAGACAACTGCACCGGCGGCCTCTGCACACAGAGTGGGTAACATCACCTCCGATCTCTACATGTTATCAAAGAGAAAAAGACAGTTTGGCATCATTACTGCCAGTCCCGTTGCGTTCAGGGAGTGTGTCATTATAGATTTGCTGCTCATAATTTTTGGCAGTGTGGGTTAGCTCATGACCGTCATTATAATCATGCTCATTACCAGCACCCTCATTCATCTTCATTATTTATCCACATACATAACATGCAGTGCACACAGCCATGGATGCATACACAAGTAGTTATTCAATTAAAAAACACTTTGAAAAAGATCTGAAAGAAAATGTCTGATGTTTCTCTGCCTTTTCAGATCGGAAGTTGCTACATGATGCAAAGCCGCAGGGTGAGTTTCTGCATCCATTCCTTCCTATTGTATAATTTTCATAGCAATCAGTGTCTGTGACCGTATTCTTCAGAGCCCACGGACACCAGCACTTGGGTTGATTCAGCACGATGAACTGGTGAATGAGAGAAATGTGTCTGGCTTCCAGTTCAGCCTGGATTATCAGTAAAATAAACAATACCTAAATGTTACCAACTGGCAACTAGTCATGGCATAAAAGGGACAAATCACTCTGACAGGTGTGGTTCTGAAAAACAACACACTGCATGACTCACTGTGAATTCACCCATACTTCAAACAGTATGTCTGGCAGACAGGTGCTATATATAAACATGTACGGATAATGAGTTGGAAAGTACAAGTAATATGTCAGTTCATTGCTAGCATGTATTTCAGGTGTGTGAATGCTCGTCTGTCCTATCAAATTACTGCATAGGATTGCTGTTCCCAGCTTTACTAACATCCCCCTAGTTTTTCCTCAGTGCCAAATACTGTAAACGTTTGTCTACAGCCCGTGGTTTAGCACTGTATATCCTTTGCTTTATGCATTATCGCTCTGTAGGCCATGTATGAAAATCATTTTGATACCCACTAAGCCACAGACACATGTTCTCTTTACTTGTCCTTAAATGCAGTTATGTATTTTTGTTTGTCAGAAATGGGAAAATGAATGCAGCCAGGCTGCCAAAGCTTCCCAAGCCCTCAATTAACCTGCCACTGTAGCTGTTAATGCCGCTTTGCATATTTTGTCAATTTCTCCTCATTTGAGCTTCAGGCTACTTTGAGGATTTCTTAGCATGTCCTGTTTCAGCCCAGATCTCATTATCTTTCAGGAACAAGCTAGCCGCCCCTTTACTTCCCACTCACTCATTTTCTTTGTGGAGTTGGACGCTGCAGTACTGGTGGGACCAGATAGAGCATAATCATTGCCGATGAGCTAATTTAATGAATTGGTTTTGTCACATTATCCCAGTGGAGTGCAGAGTGCCTCCAACACCAGAGCCAAGCAGTGTTTGAAATGACAGACAGGTGGTGGGTTGATTATAATCGCCTTCCTTCTGAGGTTCCTCATTAGTAGCTGTAACACCCCAGAATGGAACCATGAAGCTGTGCATCAGGAGGCAGCGTAGACAGGGAATAGAAAACAATAAAGGCGCTGAAGTAGTTTGAAACTCAGGTAGACGTGCCTCCTATAAAGTACTTTAACTTCGCTGATATTCTTCAGCAACACAGATTTTTTTTGCTCCTAAGTTCCTAATTAAGTGTGGTATTCCTAAAAAGTGAAAGTTAAGTGGCTCAGAAATGTGTTTCTCTGTGTTCCTCGCTCCAACTTGCCAAGGTGTGGAGAACAGCAGTGATGTGGCGCTGTATTCAGGCCTCGCTGCGGGGGCGGTGACGGTGGTGCTGCTGATTATCGCTGTCACTCTTTACCGAAGGAGCCAGAGCGAGTACGGCGTTGACGTCATCGACTCCTCGGCCCTCACTGGGGGCTTCCAGTCCTTCAGCTTCAAGACCTCTCGTCAAGGTGAGCCATAAGATTCACACTGAAAACTGTGCCATAAGATGCTGCTGTGCATCTCCATAAATACTGCTGATCAGATCCTCAGGAAAAAAAAAATCAGGAGGAGTTATTGTAGCTGATGATACAGAAATTAATGGGTGCTCGGATTCCAAAATCAGATATATATGGTTTCTAAGTAGTTAATCATGATGTTTAGTATCACATCTTCCACATACATTCAGAATATGTGGAATAGCTCTCTGTACCAGTGTGGGATGTAGAGGAGGAGTGCAAGTTCTCTGGGTAATTTGCTGGAGCCTGGTGCCATGGTGGATGATTTAAATAATGAATTAAGATGTGCACACTGTTTGACTTGTGCATAATTACACCAAGCACACCCAATAAATTAGAGAGTGGGGTTGAAACCCCATTATCATTCTTGTTGCTGTATGACAGCGACAGGTTTTTGGCCACTAATTTAGCTCCATGCTGACTATACCTTCATTCCATTTAAGCTTGTGTTTTGATGTGCATTTAAATTTGTATTAAATAAAAAATAATAATAAATACACCTACTTTGGCACAAGTGCTGTTTATTTGAAATCTCAAAATGCATTGTCATTGCATTTGCCTTAAACATACAGAAAAAAATAAGAGTCTGCTGAAACTATAAATCCATTCATTGATTTGTATAGTGTGTGTGATTAGTAATCAGAATGTGAATATCTGATTGATTTAACTTTTATTAAAATAGCTAAATGACTGCATCTGACTGTAATTACATTCATACCATTTTAATTAGAAAAGAATTTAAAGAAAGAAAGGAACCCCAAAATGAAATGAAGTCTCCAGTTCTGCCTGGTAAAACACTGAGATGGTATTTCAATGTAAATGAAGTGTCGTTCTCCTCCAAACATAAGTGGTCCTTACAAATGAAAAAGGGAGATTTTTTTAGCTTGTGCCTTGGGGAGGACAACACTGAACAACATGCACACACACTCACACACTCCAGTAGATTGCTAGCCACCAACTGTATAGAAGATCCTGAATAGATTAAACCCACAAAATACAAGATGTGGCTCTGATTCGATTGAATTTTTTTTCATCTAAATCCTGTTAATGTGTCTCATATTAATGTCATTGTATGTAATTTAACCCTGGAAGCATGCGAGCAGCACTGTTTAGTATTTATAGACAATATCCTTGAATTATGCATACAAATCTTTATATTGTGATACATATCAATTATTAAAATGCTTTAGGGGCCAGAATGACTGTATTTAATTTTTCAGTTTGTTTACTCGAGCCTTCTGGAGATGCTTGTTTTCTGTGCCCTAGTGCACTAAATGTCCAATAACACACAATACAAAGCTTAATCTATAAAGCACACCATGCATCTTTTGCTTTATTGCAAACATCAGTATGCCCCAAGCAGTAAACATTGACTGAAACGTATGGTAACAAGCACATCTTGTGTTCTAAACAAATTTACAGGTGAACTCTTACCGTTTATTACTTGCACCATAACTTAAGCAAACATGTCGACTCTTATCAGGGCAGTGTGTCATTTGTGAGATTATACACTTGATGGTATTAAAAATATAATTCATTAGTGTTTACTTTTTTTTTTTTGTTTGTACCTGGGGCCCAATGGAACATTTGTGGTCCTGTATCTGCAAACAAGGAAACATCAGAAGCACGGTGTGTTTAGCCCCACAGATTGAGGCGTATTTTTACAAGGCTGGCATTATGGGTCGCCACAGCAACACCTCTCAGCGCGGCATAATAAAGTTCATTTTGATAACAGAGCAGGAGGCAGGGAAGGCTTTAATCTTGGTCCCTGGTTGCCTTGATAGAGGGGCTAAAACAGCCAAACCTCCATTAAATCCAACATGTCCTCCCTTCTTTATATGTTGCAGATGGCTCTATGCTGCTACAGTAGTTACACAGTCATCATTTCATGTCACTTCTTTTGTGCAGTCACATCCTTGAACATAAGTCAGTGTGACAACTCCCCTAATCTCCAACAAAATAAATGGGCAATTTACATTTCCCTGCTCATTAAGAGAAACCATGCTGTTTACTTAGCTGTGCCTTCCGTTGTCATTGTGCTTGCTGAGTTACCAGTGAGTCATTAATCATAAAATAATTTCACCTTACAGTAAACAGATTTATCTCATGTATAATAACTTTCTCTGTGCTGTGTTTCTTGATTGATCCACAACATACTGTTATTTAGTTCCAACACATGCTGCACATACAAATGGCTACAATGTGACAAACCGTAACTACAGCAATACCTGTCTCTGCTTGCACCTGCTGAAACTGGAGCTGTACATCACCTATAGTACTAAACTGACCTATAGTATTATAGTAATAAACTATACACCAATATTGTTTAAACCACTGTGACAACAGATTAGAGCACGTTACTACACCTCATCTAGTTGTTTTCCATTTGTCACTTTTAATTAAGCCATTACTACCTTAAGTAGAATGTGCAGTGATCGCTGTGGGTGATGGTATTACAACAATGGTCACAAGTTGATAAATAATAATTATCATGACATACCCTTTAGGTTTTTAATAATTGTAATAGTGGCACTCTAGTTCAGTGTCACTCAGTGTCACTTGCTTAAATATGTCTAAGCGCTGACAGTAATTTCTGTTTTCTGTTTTTCAGCAAACCCTTTGCTTATTAATTCATCCATGCAACCTGATCTGACAGTGTCGCGTACCTACACCAGCCCCATGTGTTTTCAGGACTCCATTGACAAGGAGCTGATGGCCGAGCACTCACTCCTCGACCCGTTGCCTGATCTCAAGGTCAAAGGTTAGAAAACAGAGGTGTTATGAAAGCCCGAGTCTGTGGCGCTCACCTGCAGCTGCAGGCTGAGGGATAATCCATCTTGCTTTGAACCTGTTTTTCTCCAAGAAAACTTCCATTACAAAGAAAAAACGGTCCTGACCTTGGAGGGCATCACAAATTGGCCTTTCGCTAAGCCATGTCCCATCACGTTACTTTGGCTCCCTTTTTTGAACATACACCAGTTTACAGTGGTAACAACTGCAGATTTACAACTTGAAATTCAGGGTAATTTTTGAAACAAGAACTCTTTGATCCAAACAAAAGCAGGCTTCTGCTTTCTACCAGGCTGTCGCTGATTTTGCTAGCTGAAATGACAGCTAGTTAACTATGCTAACCTTAGCTTCATGAATCGACTGACAACAGTCTCCTTCTTACTTTTTAATGTTTCCATCCAAGTCATTTTAAAATGAGAATTCTTTAAACAACTCTTAAATGCGATAGGCACAAACAGTTCATGAGGCTGTGCAGAAAGAGAGTGGCTGTTCTGGGTTTACTGCAGCCCCCTGCACACTGCTTCAGCCTGACAGGTTTGCCAAGCCTTGTTTCAGTTGCTAAGCTGTGAGTGGACAACTGCTGTTTTGGGGTTAGGGTTTAGTGAACAGTGAATCAGAGAGTGGCTGGTTTTACATACGCCATACTGTGTATAAAGTATTCTTAAAATAAAACGTGTTCTTGCTTAAACAAAACGCTGAGTTTACAGTGACGCCATATTCCTGTCTTTTGTCTGAGTTTGTTTACCTGGAACAAAGTCACAGTAGTATTGTTGCATTTCTAGGGGTGGCAGAAAGGGCGGACTACCATGTTGTGTCCCACCCTCAGACATTTCCAAGGGGCCTGGCTCCAGACTACAGAGGCGTTGCAGTGGGGACGACACTGGGCAGGAGAAGCAGAAACCTTTTCACTCCACAAGTCTCGCTGACTCCAAGCAGGCCTCTCCACAAAGCTACTGCAGTATTTGGTCATGCTGGAGGCAGGCTGGTGGTACCTAACACAGGTGAGCCAACTACAGAGGCATTTTTAATTGGATACTAGCTCCAGCTTGTAATACATGAGAGTCACAGAGATGATCGTCCATTAACATACGAGATTGAGACTTGCCGGCCATTTTGACCCTGTACCGTTGTTTCATAACCCTCATTCAGATTCTGAAGGTACAGTATTTTCCAAGTCCACATAGTCTTCTAATGATGTGGAATCAAAAATAATCTATTCCAGTCCAGGAAAAATATCATTTCTGGCAGTTTCCCAGGTAGAAGAACTTCTTTTCAGTCAAGTTAAAGACAGAAATACCATCATCTCTCTCACTTTCTTTGTGGAGGTTGAGCTGCTTTCACACAATGCCATAGTGATGATGTCACTTCCTGTCACCATCGTTATTTTTATGAAAAAAACTTATAAAAATTATATTTTTCCCTGGACTAATGTTGTGTTAAAATCTGTTACCGATTGAGATGTGTTTCCCTTAAACTGAACCCTAACCTTACACCACACATGACCACAGATGGGGGTGCTACTAACAGACCTCGACAAAAGACCGACCCAGATTATTTTTGACTCTGCATCGTTAGAAGAGTCTATGAGAATTCAGGAAATGCCTTCAGAATTCAACTAAGTTTTATGAAATGACATTACAGGGTTAAAAAGTTTGATAAGTTTCAGTTTCGCACGTCAGCTGAAGATTGTATCTGTGACTCGAGTGTATGTAAACCATGAGAGCCACAAGCTGAGGCTAATTGGATACCTGTGTGAAAGCTGAAACTTCTACTACAAGAACTAAAAATAACACAGACTAGAAACTGTAACTTAGCACAGTTTGATACAGGCCATCTAGTAGTGGATTTTGAATCTGTTTGCCCTTGTCAGCGTTAATCGACTCGGAACACGAACATGAATATATTATATAATCGACCACTGTGACACAAACCAAATCAACAGTTCTCAGGGTAGAGAAAGTGGTTCTAACTGCAGTCATGTAAACCTTCACAAGATAAATTGACTTAAAAGCATTATGGATTTTAGTTTTAAAACACACAGTGTACGCTATGAACAAAATGTTAAGTATTTGTAATATGAACCTACACAGTCTACAGTATTCAGGCAACTCGCTCTTGTGACCTACATTCGTTGTCCTGTCCCTTGAGGGGCTTCATCTGCTGCAGTGTAGATTGGCAGTAATTGTTTATCATAGAATGGAAGGTTGTATAATGTCTAAGAAAGAGACCATCTGTGTGTGTTTACAGCAAAGACATTGATTCACACGAGGCCTATGGGACTTGCTTCCGTCACCTTGTTCTGGAGCTGTCACCTCTCTGGCTGTCACCTTCAGTAAAGGGACCTGACAACCAAGCAGGTGTGTGTGTGTGTCATATGTGGATGTCTGTTCTGATTGGTTTTTGCATACCTCCTTCTCTGCAGGTATCAGTCTGCTGGTGCCTCACGGGGGGATCGCAGAAGAGACTACCTGGGAAATGTACATGATTATCAACCAGCAGGACAGCAGGTGAGGGACTGTCACTGTGGAGGCACAGTCTGCTGCTTAGGCTGCTCTCTTTTAATCTCTCAACCCATGGCACTGCATCTCTCATCTCTCTTCCTGCCACGTCAACTCTTTGCCGAACATACACCACAGATGTGCACAGATGAACACAGATCCTCTCATACAGGTACTACACACTCACAAAGTGCGGGCATATTTTCACCCAGCACGAGGTCCTTGCTTATCTTGCAGACGCTACAGGGAAGGACATGGTGTGTCACACGTATATCGGCAGCTGTAGACACATTTTGTTACTGCCTTAAGCAACTGTCTCAGCAGAGAAAGACACTGCATGACTCTTGTAGCCTGTTTTGTGTTTGGAGACATAAGTGTGACAATATCACTTCCCATCGTGACCAGTTAGACTGGTGAATACTGTGAATGTTGTAATGTCACAATGAAAGGTGATATTGATTTGGTTTCCAGTTCGTCGGAATGTGATATATTACAAAGTTCAGACGACTGTATAGCCTGACAGCAGGAGCCTGTTTCTGTGACTTGGACGTCAAGATTTTTTTCAAGGAAAAAAATGACATAATAGATAAGAACCGTTTGAAAAGGGGTCTAATATGTTTGACTTTTTTGCAACAGAGCTTGAAAAGCTGTCTGACAACCAGAAGTCAGTTTTTGGACAAGTTCTTGATTTATAGCAGAGTATCAATGTGTCAGTATGTCTGCGCGAAACCCTGTTAGCGAGATACCACCCTAACATCCGCAGGAGAATCAAAATCTGAAGTTCAGCTGTCATCTCTCTTCACTTCCTCCCACCCATTAAGCGCATGAGGTCACACAGATCAAAGGTCACACATAGGTAGAAGGTGGTTGCACACTCCTCTGTCTAAAGCCTCCCCGGCTGAGCCAGGCTGCTGCCCTTCAGGCTCCTGCTTTGCTCCGATAAGCCTGATGCTGTTTACTTCTCTGGCTGTCGTTTAAGAAGCTGCAGGAGCCCAGCACCGCTGAGCTGTCAGACAAAACCTATCTTCTGACAGCCGTGGAGTCCAGGAGAGGAACCGGAGCTTTTCTTGCCGTTCAGACCTTGGCCATCTACATAAGACGACACTTTCCTCCGCAAAGAAAAGGAATTGATCGGCTCTGGCTCAGTTTCGGGTGTTCACAGGAGCCGGTGTCGCTCCTCTGGGCTTTACTAGGTTGTTTTTACGTGTGATCTTCTCCAGCTCAGCAGGGGACAGTGGGCAGTCCAGAGACAGCGTGCCAAAGTTCAGCTGATATGATGTGACTCACACAAGTTGGAGTGAATGAGTTCAGAGGCATCATGCTCATTTTCTGAGCGTACTTTGCAGAACTACCTCAGTGCTTTCTGATGTTATTTTATTTGCTCTGTCCTGTTAGTGCTACTACCAATTTATTTTGCACTAGTACTAACCCACAGATCTCCCTTAAATTTACCATTTTGTTAGTACAGCTTTAAGTAGCTACAGTTAGAAAGAACCTGTTTGACATATTTATATTATATATGCATAGCGAAGCTTATCAAATGCTCAAACTGATTAGAGTCTTACACTGAATGCAATATTAAAGGTAAACTCACATTGTTTTATGCAGCATAGTTTGTTTACAGGCCTTGGGTGGTGCCTGAAAAAAGCTAAAATAGGTTGAACAAAGTCTGATCATTGAAGTCACCTTTTTCAGTGGCTACCTGGTTAGCAGCAGGCTTTGGTAGAAAGTCTTATACAGTGGCACCAAAGGGTGTTCTGTGGTTTATGTCCACAGTAACGGAGCTGCTGAAAGAGTTGGAAAGACATACTGTCGTATACCGATGATTCATTGTTTAGTGATCTCAGCAGAAAAAGCCAGGAGTTGGTGTAAAAGTGAAGGAGACATGTTGTGTGCACTGCACATATGAAACAAGACTTAACTAATAACCCTGATCTATTATCTTCACTTTAACCGTTGTCCTGGAGCGATATTTCTTTGTTCTCATAAGCACAATCAGAGATGCAAAATAACCATCTTTAATCTTAGCTCACAGGCAATCTGGATAATTAGCATAGTCTCAGCAGCAGGTAACCTTGGAGCCTGGGGCTGATTAGCACAATAGTGCAGCTGCGGGGCCACGGTGCTGTCTGGATGTGTGATTTTATTTTCGACAGCAGATCATAAACTTTTTTTATTTTTTAGTGTTGATTAGTAACAGCATAATGAAGAATGCTGCTTCACATAGCACCAGAAACTGTTAATATATGAGGAGCTAAACAAGCTCAACCACACACAACTTGGGAGCACACATTCAAACATCACCCCTCACCTTCCTACCTCCATCTTCTTCATAAAACAGTTTGCAGGGACAGATTATTGTGCTTCAACACTAGTGTGCTTTCTTCACATGAATATTTCAAAATATGTTTACTGTTTGTTGAAAATGCTCAAACAAAACAGGAAAGTTTTCCCACTTTGGTTTGTGGTAGCTGTGACTCAGTGTTAGATACTAGGAGCATACGCTCTTTACTACTCACTGTCATAATGTGAAGAGTTGAAGCAATCAGTGGATTTTGATTGGCAAGTTTTTAAAACATTTCACAGAATAAACCATTAATTGAAAAATGAAAATAATTAATAATCAACTCAAACATGAAGTATTTAATATTGTTGTTGAGTACACAAACTGCATACTAAAACCCTGTTTGGTTGTAGTATAGTATTGGGACACTGTGGTAATGAGTCAGGTGGCACCGTGTGTTAACGTGTAATCTATTAAAATGATACTTTTGATGCCTTACTCGTTGTCACTCTGTGTCTCCTGCATTTGTGTGCATACGTGTGCGCCCACGTTTGTGATGCAACTGTGCTCGCTGGGTTTTTCCTCACTGCAGTTGTATTGATGATGCTGAGAAAACATCCATGCTGCTCCAGTGACAACAGCACCAATATCGTGTCCTGTGTATGTGAGGTGTCCTGCCAGGCCAGCTGCATGACTGATGGTGGTCCCATCGATTGCTCTTAGTCTTCAGGGCGCCCAGCCAAGATTGGGCCTCTGGCCAAGAGCTGCTTGGCCTGGCTAATCCGTCACCAGGCTGGCCAGAGCAGGCTTCATAAGCTCCATCGACCCATGAAGCTTACACGCTGTGTGCTAAAGCCTGTCCTCCCCAGCCTCACTGTCCATTAGTCTTGGTGCTTTAATCTTCTTCTATCTGTGTGTCTGTGTGTCAGCTAGTCGGGGACTGATTCATTATGAGTGTCCAAGAGTTTGAGTTTACTTTGTTCATGGGCAAAGGTCACACTCTGTTATCTGAATGCTTGTTTAAGCAGTGATTCATTAGCCCTCATGTTTACATACTTCTTAAACTCAGTTTTGGTTTGCTTTTTCCTGCTAAAAAGTCATTTATCTTGTCAGGAATGTTTGTGATGGCATGAAATGTGTTCTTTTAATATGCACCTTTACTTCTGTGTGTGCAGCGTTGTGTCTGAGGACGAGCCAGAGATCTTCCTGAGCCCTGCTGTCACATACGGACCACCGGGCCTCGACCTGTCCTGCCCCATAGCCATGACCGTAGCCCATTGTGCAGAGGTTACTGGTGATAATTGGGCCATCCGACTAAAGAAACAAGTGCAGGACAACATGTGGGAGGTGAGCAGTTTTGCTTAAAAGCGGTAGTTCATAGGTTCAAATGTTTTGCTATAGAATGAGTGCAGAATGTTACCAAGTGCAAACACACAACTTTCACCAGGAGTGCTAGGAATATCAATACGATCTGATAAACTGCTACGACTCACTTTGATGAAAATTTTTCATCCTGCTGTGTAGTCATGCAAGCAGGGAGCTGATTTCAGGGTTGCCAGCTCAGATTTGTCATTCTGCATAAAGCTCAGCCTCATACAGTCGTACAACCACAAGAAATGTCAGACAAACTGCAAATGGTAGTTGTTAGACACTGGGACATTCGTTTCTTTTCCTGGCTAATGATAATTGTACTTTTAAAATATTGCTCTTTTCACAAATGTGTGACTTCTAAATTGCAGCCATTCATAACGTTTGAACACAACAAGCAAAATTCACATCAAGAGGACACACAGACACCAGCATCTGTACACACTGCAGCATTGTTACTGTATTTGTTGGTGTTTTGTGTTGTGTGGCGAATATATCAGAAGCATTTGATTTGACTTGATTTGATTTATTCTTTCAAGCATGTAAAGACAGTTGATATG